TTGAACATTTCAAACCATGTTCTTGCGCCACACATTGAGTGGCACTTGAGCTGTGGTGGTGAGATAAATTTAACACTTCCTTCATATATTCATTTCCGTTAAGTTAGCTATTAGCTACTTCCGGTTGTTTATAGAAGAGCGACATAAACCCAGTGGTGTACATGCTTCAAATACAGATTCATCCGCACACACACGCACACGCACTCCAAACCCCACGATTCTGATGAATTTCTAATGGTCTCCGCGCTAATTCATTCATGGTTTTTTTCTCTCTCTCACCCAACGATATCCCGTTGATATTTTTTATGATGTGACATTTTCAAATCGAATCTGAGCAACTCTCTCGATGATTTATCAAAGAATTCTTTAGCTCGATTCAACAATTTTTTGTGTGTCTCTGATTAGTGGTGAAAAATGAAAATCTTATCTATCCACTTACGGTGGAATGTTGTGGGAAAACCTTCACACAATTTAAGTAGAGACAGAGAGAGAGAGAGAGACAATTCGGCAAATAAACATGTGGATTAAGAACGGCAATTCGTTATCATTTAACCGAGATTTCAGAGAAGTATGAGTTGAGATTATTTCATTCTATTTTCACTTTGCCAATAAAGGTGGAAATTAATAAGTTCACTCCGCGCGCGGAGTGAAGTCTGCATTTGTCACATTAACGACAGTTTTGATGCAGAGGCGCGCTCGCTGGTGGGATTTGAAAATCTGAGAGCGGAAGATGCAAACTGCATCATCGAGCAGAGCGAGCAAAGAGGCCGGAAGTGTGGCCTGACTTCATGAATGAATTTCTAGTTGCTTGCGAAATGACTTCACATGCACACACAGCGCATAGTTTGAATAAACGTGAAGATAGTCGGATGCAATTGTTCTTTTGCGCCAAATGAACACAAAACACTCATTGTTCATGTATCAGCAACTGTAAATCTGTGTCACATGCTACTAACATAGAATCCACCCATCTCATTCACACACTTCCAACTCCATCTCATTTGCACAACTTAATATTGTACACTTCTTTCTACTCTCCTCATGTTTGATCATCATTATCGTCCATTCTGTACATAAAATGCATACTCTATCCACCACAATGTTGCATGCTCTCTCTCTCGTGTGTGGACTCAAATATATATATGTGCATAGTGAACATGGGGTTACAAGAGAGTGTCTCGTATTATTTATAGAATTTTATACATGGTGAAATCCTCTCACCAGCCATTTTTCACGGGGAATCTGATACTGCTGCACAGCAGCGCAGAGAGGAGTTTTTTCGGGAAAACATCGCGTCGGGACATCATTATTTGCGTCAAGAGTCATTAAATTAAAAAATTACAACCTCAGGCGAGCCTCTCCCTCCCACCAACTATAGTCACATCCTGTACTTGTCTTAATTGCTGCCTTCTTCAGCCATTTCTTCCACCACAATGCTAACATATAAAACTCTAGCGCCAAATTCTTTCACACGCACCTCAACCATACAAAGTCCAATTCAATTCACATTCCATACGCATTTTTTCCGTCTCCTCCACACATCGCCTCCCCATTCTTTTGCCACATCATATACCTCTCTTTATGTTCTCACCGAGCACAGAGAGACAGAGAGAGAAGTTGGGTAAATAAGGTGGCGAGCTTAACCTCATAAATTCTGTCTATACGCAAAATTGCGTGACTTTTGCAATATCCGTTCAATTCAAAAATTGAATAAACAATTCATTGACTCAATTCGCATATTTAATGTGCGCACGATGACTTCTTTCTCAATCACGCAACAAAGCCATATTATTAAATACATTAAATAACAGAGAGAGAAAGAGAAAAAAATCAGAACATTTGGTCAAGTGAAAAAGGAATTGTGATTGCCTGTGCAACTATTGCACATTTTGCTACACTTGACGACATGATGCTATCACATGTCTGATCTTGTGGCAATTGAAGCAGTTAAAGTACGATAAAGTGCTCGCCCTTCGTGACGTCTCAGAGCATCAATGCGAATCAAGGGGCAGATAATATGCCATAAACACTTCTAGAACATAAAATTTGTAGTCTATTTCCACATTAATTCCTAAATTTGAAATTTGAACTTGAGGTTTCATTCGATATTTCTAGAAAAATCGACTGGAAACCACTGTTTGTGGACATCTTTTCTGATCATAACCTCAAAAATTTAATTAGGAGATCTTCAAAAACTCAGTTCGAAAGCTTTCTGTATAACAAATCATCTCAAAATTGCTGATTCACAGTCAAAATTGTCTAGAAAATTGTCTAAATGGACATTTTCCAAGTCCAAATGATTATTTTTGTGGTTATGTTCAATCTTAGCATAATTTGCACTCTTTCTTGGTATCAAAAGATCAAAAAAGCACTGCTAATTGCTTGCAAATGCTTAATTCTGCCAAGGACAATGCGAATTATTCACTAAATCTGTTCCTAATTCGTTACATAACCTAGAAAAAAGATTATTACGTTTGTTTCTGCGTGAAAATCGAAGGAAATTCAGAGAATCTGGATGATTAGGCAGTAAAAGAAGTGCGTAGAAATGGAATATTGTAGGTTTTTCAACACTTCCACTCCTTATGCACTTCTGCTGAACTGTACACCACTTCTGACTGTATTATCTCCCCTTTGATGCGAATTTAAATGCTCAGAAGAAACCCATCGGGTGACCTTTCTCCCGAGCGTCTCGCAGATCGTGACGCGTGTGTCTCACGCAAGATGATGGTGTGACTCCCCCTCTTGCTTACAAATATAGCTGTCGTTAGGGGGAAATGAGAATTAATGGTATTTTCTGTGAATGGCACGTCGCAAAAATGTATAAATTTTGTGTGTAGGCTACAATACAGCGTGGTGTGGTTATATATGGTCGTCTGAGATGCATCTTCTCTCTCTCGTATCTTTTACCTCCACTACTTGTACATAGTTGCCTGGCTTTGTGAGATTTTACGACGGGAAATTACCTTTCTGAAAAACATTCATAAATTAAATTATGCGGTGTCATTTAACGGCAATTATAATGTATAAAATGTCCACATATGTGTATGTGTGTTTGTGTATGCATTTCAATCCAACGCACTTTTTTCTCGTCTCTTGGTTTGCGATATATATCAAACTGGGGGCTGAGATGAGAAAAAGAGAGAGAGAGAGAGATGAGAAACTTCTTTATATTTAAATCAAAATGTTTTCTCCAACACAGTCAGTGTCTATCTTCTCATGAGGGGGGAAATATGCCTTCTTTTGCCTCGTCAATTCAACCACGCACTTGACACAATCCACAATTTTATAAAATGTGTCTTCACAAGAATGTTGACATTTAATGGATTTCTCTTTTGTGTTTCTACACTTTAAATGATGCTGTTTCGCCAAATTGACTTTACAATGGGGAGTGCTGGGGACGAATCGTGATTTTATTGCTCTATGCCTGGGAGGTATGACAGAGATCCTGTTTCTTCTCCTCCACAATCACGAATGGAATTGTCGCGTGAGCTTCAACGGTCGCCGGATGGGTGTTTTATTCAAATGAGGCATTTCCATTTAGCGCAAAAAAGGCGAGAGAGAGAGAAGAGAGATAATTCCGAGCCATCTTCTCGGTTTGAGGTGAAATGTTTGATGAATTTTCTTGTGCCTGTCGCGGTTTCATTCATAAGACAGAGAGAAAAAGGTGGTGGTGGTGGAAAAAAAAGAGGAGAGAAAACAGAGTCCGTGATAAAAGTGTGAGACACACGCGCTGTGAATTGTGTTGAAAATAATGAATGGGAAGGCATATGGTGGAGCATTTTCTCAATGAAATACGCAAAAATTTTGCGAGTAGAGCAACAGCAAGTTGCTGGAAAGTAGGGCAATTGATATCGTGTTTATCACCTCACTTTTTTTCTTCTTAGATTACTTATGATTGATGTTGAGGAATTGCCATGTTTTTTTTCCCTTCTTTTTTTTCCTTATTCCCACAAACACGAGTAAATGAGAAATTTCCTTTCATTGCCTCTGGTGTGTTCCTTCCTGTCAGGAAATATTAAATTACACGCGCGCTGTTGAGCGCTTGTTTGTGTGTTCTCCCACTGAATTTGCGGTAATTTTTGTTGAAAATGCTGTTGAGATACACGTGGAAAATTTTTCAATCGCCAAATTGGCATATCTTTGACCACCTCCTCAGCGTGGAATTTTGCTGAATGAGTTGAGTTTGAATTAATGAATGAGTGGCGGAGATTCGAGTGAGTTTTTCTTTTACTTGTGAATACAATGAATGTGAGGAGCTTTTTTGCCTGGAAAGATGAAGAAGAAAAAAAAAGTTACACAGAGACAACATTTATGGCGGCGAAGTCTCTGCAACTTCCCACACACGGAGTGTGACTAAATGAAGGAGACTGACCAAAAGTGTATGTTAAATTAAGAGGGCTAATCAATTTCTCATCACAAATACCTCTTGCATCAATTCAAAAAGCAATTTAAGTGAGTTCCTCTCAATGTTTTGCCCTTTTTCTTAAAGAAAAAAACCAGCAAAGATGTCCAAGAATACCTCAATGAATATATTCTTATATTCAGCTTTATCTCTTCTTTTTAATCACTTCATGCACATTTATGTTTTGGTTTATTGTAAATTCTGGTTGGACGTTTTACTGCATTTTTCTGCCATCCGTTTCTATCTTGCTGAGATCTGTATACTTAACTCAATCTTTTTCTCGCTCTTTCTGGACTGTTTTTCGCATATGATGAATGGATATCAGAAGAAGGGGGAGGAAAAACTTCCTGTTATAATTTCTTGGGTGAAAAGAGGGCAATTTTTCTGTCATTGGACAATAAAGTGTCGACTCACGTGTGTCACTAAACAAACGCGTGACGGTTTATTTGAAATATTGCGCAATGATCGATTTAATTTGCCATAAATACCACGAGATGGTAGACAAATGGCGTCAATTGGTGACTGAAGATGTCTTCATTAATATTAATTGGTAAATTAAAAATGTGCCATTGGCTCTTTTTTCCCATCTTCTCCACAGTATTCTGGCATTCGAATCGGACCCGTGGTCAAGAGAGACGTTATGAAGGCGTCAACGATGCTGGAACATGAGTCGCAGTGAGTATTTTTCACAGATCCAAAAGTCTCATTTGCATTTATTTCCCCCCTCAAACAAAAAAAAGAAGAGAAGAGAAGAAGAAAAAGCAGCAGAATTGACATGAGGGAAAAGGTGAGGCACGTGAACTGAGAAATGCGTTGAATTTTCACTGCGTTGATCGCGTTATGAGATGAATAATTGATGAAGAAGATTCATAATTTAATTGTTGATCTTTCCTCTGCTGCAAAGTTTATTGGCCGCGCACTGTGAGTGCATGAAATCAATGCAAAATTACCTTGACTGACACATTCAGCAAAATGTCACTATAAGAAACCTCTCTATTTCGCCAAGTCAAGAGTGATTGTGAGATGTTGAACAACGGAAAAAAAGTTGCACGTTGCTTTGGTTGTTTGTGAGGAATTTCCATCAAGCGCGCGCGAAAGAACTGGCTCTTGACGAGACACCCACGCACTTTTGAGATGTTTATAGCTGATTTCTGAAATAATATTTCCATTAAAATCATAAATTATACTTTATTGTATCCCAACTGCTTTGCCTCTGCGTGCGTGTTTACTCGTACGGGCTTCAGAAGCACGTGATGGAGGTGGGAAAAGAGGCGCGCATTCTCAAAGGAAATTGGCTGATTAGTTATGATTTTTTTTTTCAATTTCTCCACAATTCTATTGATTCGCGATTCAGCAAGAGCCTCAAGTTTATCTATACAAAATGTCATAATCTCTCTCTCTTTCAAGATATGCAACAATTCTGGCATTTGACGTGAAGGTGGAGCGCGATGCTCAGGATTTGGCTGATTCGCTGGGTGTAAAGATCTTCCAGGCGGATATCATTTATCATCTCTTTGATAAATTTATGGCCTATCGTGAGGAATTGAAGCAGAAGAAGAGGGATGAGTTCAAAAGTATTGCTGTCTTTCCCTGCAAACTCAAGGTGAGTCTCTTTCCCTGGCTATTCATACACACTCGAGGCCTCTTTTATTCATTGATTAAAGAGACGCTCGTGGGGTTTCTTTGCCATGGCATTTTTCTCTGCTCCTCCGGGGATGATTTGATGCAATCGCGAGACAATGCGAAAAAATTCCTAAGCGAGTGAGTGAGAGAAGAGAAGAGACCTTAATCGAAATTCCACGAAATATTGAATGAATTTGATGCGATCACGATATGTCTTGGCATATTCACATTATAGGTGCTGCCACAATTTATCTTCAACTCACGAGATCCCATCGTTGTCGGTGTGATGGTGGAGAATGGAATTATACGCGAGGGAACACCAATTTGCGTGCCCAGCAAGGAGGTGAGTCCAAAAGCGCATCTTATCATTGCATTGTTGTATTTTGTGAGACTCCAAAAAATTGGTATTTTCGCCCTGGACGAAGGCTGGCTCTATCAAATTTCGCTAAATCGACTAAAATGACATCAATTGAAAAGGAGCGGGTCTTTTTTTTGGTTTTCGTCCGCCATTTTGAACACCCAAAAAAACGTTTTGCTCATTTGTTCAGCCGTTATGGCATGGATCTGCACCAAATTCCAGTATGTTGTAGCTGAAGTCAAGACCTTTCCAACGAACCCACAGTTATGGAGATCGAAATCATAGGAGGGGAGATATGGGGGGTCAAAGTTCATATCTCCACTGGCCTATAACTCCGCTGTTTATCAACTGATTTTGATCATCTCTTCGTCAAAAGACGTGTCTCGAAGCCCTTAAGTAGACTACACTCACAAAAAGTCTATGACGTCATCAGTGACACCGCCATATTGATTAAACTTTAAATGCCTGTATCTCGGTAACTAGACTGTGCTTTTTGATAAGATTTTAGTATGTTTTAGTCTATGTTTGGACGTCTCTAAAAATATGTTATAATTTTTTATCGAAATAATAGAACCGGAGTTATGGCAGTTTAAAGTTTTGATTCAGTATGTATAATAACTTCTGTTCTATTTATCCGATTTTAATAATTTTGGGCATGTTGGAAAGCTCTAGCAAAAACCTACAACTATTTAGAACAATAGAAGTTCGTCTGACCACCGCTAGAGGCGATAGTGTCAATGATAAAATTTTAAAAATTATTTTGAAAGAAATTTTTTGAATTTTTCGATAGTCGAGATTGAGATTTTTCCAAAATGTGGTTAAACTTTCTTGTCAATATCATAGAACTGGATTTATGGAGGTTTGCTTATCACGGCCGTTTTTCTGTGTGCAAATCTCTCGACTTGTCAGTGTTGATGTGGAATAATATAGGAAAGATTTTGCTTGTTCAACAACTTCCAACGTTCATTTTTGACTCGTAATCTCGCCTTGCGATGTGGGATGTGTTGTCAGACTGATTATGAGAAAAAAAAAAGTGCTGAGAAAAGCACTGACAATTCTTCTTACATATACTTTTTCCCAACTATCAATCATCAAATTAGTCGCCAGAGAATTGTTGACATTCACGAGTCGACCGACCGAAATGATCAAGAGAATTTGAAGCGATGTGAATGAGAAGAGCGCGACGAGATGCAATAAATCTAAATGGCATCCTCTCGATAGACTCACGATTTCAGAGGGATTCTGAGTGAGTCAGAAGCGGAAGGAAGTGAAATACACTTTTGGGTCATATTTCCTTCCGTTTTTTTTGTCTCTCCGTTCTGTCTGGCTCATTCAGCAATTATGATGAAACTGGAGAGCGAATGTGGATAAAAAATAGAGTGAGAAACATCTGAGACTGCCTCGGACTATTCATCAACTTTTTTCTCCTTATCACAGGCGGAAATTCCAATGAATATTAAAACACTACAGAAGTATCATGTTTTTTCGTGGCGTTTGTATTTGTTGAACTTTCAAATTCGACGGCTAAATTGAAGTCAAAATCGTAATTTTTCAATAGAGCAAATTGAGAATTTAGCGTAAATATCGGTGGGAAATTCGCAGAATTTACATGAAAACCCTCAAAACACATTCTAATAATTATTTATTGAATTTTTTGAAATTTATTACAGTATTTAATAGTCTTTGAGTACATTTTATCCAGAAAAGTTCTAAAAATCAACTTTTTGTACTTAACAAGATATTTTCTTTAAATTTTTCAATTGAAAAAAATTCAAAAATATGAGAAATATTCAGTTACAGTCTAAGAACATTTAAGAGTAATTCTGAAAATTTATTGAACTGCAATTTGACTGCAATTTGAGACAATTTTCTTAGACAAAATGTGAATGTTGCGCAAGGAAAAGCAGATTTGACATGATTGGATCTCGGCTGTTTAAGTGTTTTGTCAGTAATTGATAAAAATTCTATATTTATCCAGTCTATTGTTGAAATTCTCCACTCCTGAGCTGTGTTTAACGTGGGAGGAAGAGTGACTGAGTGAAATATTTATTAAAAATGCTCTCTCGTCCTCATGAGTGCATGGCAAAGATGAGAAATTTATGGATGAGAGAGAGAGAATGTGTGTTTGCCTGGGTGGAGAAGGAGCGAGAGTCTGGGATTTATTTTGGTACGATGACTTTTCAAAAAATAGACATTTTAATACATTGAAAATGTTTCACTATATTTGAGGAAGACGAAGAAGAAGAAAAAGAGCGTCACAGACAATTTCTCCACTCCTTCAATCATCCCTATTTTTGGACATTTTTCTCGAATAATGTATAATGTTTGGGAGTATTTTTCCAAACTGATTTTCTTCCCATTAATAAACCATATGGCGTGCGCGGGGATTTTTGGGTCTCAACTTCCATTCATCCTATCGAACTCTCTGGGCTCTAAACTTAGCTCTCTCTCTCATCTCTGTGCGCCCGTCGAATCGGATGAATGACTCTTGGATTTAACATGTTTCCAACAACAGCATTTACACGGTGTTTCAGGGAAAAATATCGGGGATGAGAAGAGAGTAAAAATGAAGGTCCTTTAGTGGGCAAAAAGAGTGAATGAATGGCCAGAGCGTCTCTTATGCAGAGTTTTTGGGAATTTCAAGCGGAACTTGGCGCGGAAGCTGCTGTTGTTGTGTGTGTTTGGTCGAATCGTACAGATGTCGAGCGACATGAATGAGAGGCGGCTTTTGTGAATGAAAATAGCGTAAAGCCAGAGGAAGAATGGGCCAAAATGGGAGGGTTGAAGAAGGGGAAGACCGGAAGGAAGGGGCGAGAGGGGAAGACAGACACACACAAACAAAACTATTTAGAGTTGCACAAAAAGCGTCAAGGGACACGCACAAATCTTCAAAAAAAAACTCCCAGAAAGAGTCTTCAATGAATAACAATCGTCCCCTTTGCTTATTTCGCTCTTTCATTCATGGTTTTTTTCCCTCTGTAACTCCTCAAAGGGAGAGAAAGAGAGAAGTTGTGAGACTTTCCAAAGTGCTCTCAAGCTCTAGTCCAACAAATTACTACAATTCTTGCCATCAATGATAATCTTCCTTCGCTACGCCAGAGACATTTGTGAGTTTGTTTGTTGGGAGAGAAGTAAAGCTGCATCATTCACAAAATTCATTCCCACTCATGAATGATTTTGTGGAATTTCTGCGTGAATTTCCGCTCTGTTGAATTTTCTTCATCTCACATTTCACAGTTGGGGATTAGCTGGCAAACAAATGAGGGCACACGAAGAGCGGAAGTTTAATCCTTGAGACAAATCGGAAGTCACTCTTCCGCCACTATTCAACATTTCCGATCCATCATCCGCCCGAAAAACTGCATGAGAGAGAGAGAGCAAACAAACAGAAAAACACACACAGAAACACACTCAATGAATTGAATGAAAAGAGTGTGTTTGTGTCTTTTGACAAAAATTCAGCCATCCTGCAAAATGTGAGTCACTTTGCAAGGAGAGTGAGAGAGAGGAAGTTTGAGATCCACATCAAAGGAAACCACGCATTTAATTGACTCATCGTGTAAAAAATCACATTTTTCAACAGTTAATTGTGATTTATGAATGAAATCCGATGAGCTCGAAAGGCTCTTCTGCTTTTCGGAGTAGAAAACGAAAGAAAAAAAACAGAGTTTCACGCACATTGAGTGTGTGAGAAGATGGAATTTTCGAGACACAGGATGTGGTGTCATCTTGTTAAAATGGACACTTGACCCCTCCCTTTGGCACCCGAGCGGATATTTTGTATGTTTCCCAATTCATCCATCCTTGTTTTGGCGTGCGTGAAAAATGGCCAACAATTTATTTTCAGCCGTTTAATTGGAATCAACCATCAGACGACATAAGATATACAAGCGAAAACGAGCGCTTGTTCAAGTCTCCTCACAAGATTTCTTCACAAGAAAAAAATTTTTGTAATGCAGTTTCCTATATAATTAATGGCATCTTTCTTTTGATGAAAATATATATTTTTTTCTCTTCTTTTTCATATTTCCCCCCAAAAAAAGAAACACGGTCTTTAACGAGTTGATCGTAAAAAAAGGAGAATTTTTAGATCACTCCGCGAAAAGAAATGAAGAGAGAATCTATTCTAATAAATCTCATCCACGCAAGAAATGAGATGAGAAATCTCTAATACATTTCAGTGTGTCTTTCATCACATCTGCGAAATTAGTGAAAAACCATTAAAATAAGAATTCTTTCTCAATGGAAACTTCTACAAAGGAAAAAATATCAAAGCAGGTGTTTAACACTCCATCAAGTGTTTCTCTTTAGTGGCCTTTTTTTTTACTTGCTGTTGTATCTTTGATACACAAATACAATTATACAAGAGAGGAACTCTTTTTTTTTCTTCTTTCTTTGCTATAAAAATTCAATTTATTTTATTCACTGCGTCTCAAAAGCCATTTTATATGGTGTGAGTGAGAAACCAGAAAAAAAGAGATGAAAAATCTTCTCAAAAGACTCGAAATTTATCCTCCCACGATTAAATGTGTCAAAACACAACCAAAGTCACTTTATAAAATTCTCTTTAACGTCTTTCTTTTGTACAAAAATACATTTTTTCCTGTATCTTTCGTCTAGAGTCGCTAAATTGACAGAATTCATGTGATATTCTGCTTAAGAACCTTAGCAATAGTTGCTAATTGTGTGAGGAAAGTGGCCAGAAACGCACCAGATTTTCTTTTATAACTCAAAAGTGAGACATTTTCCCATGATCACGATAGCACGATGCGCTCACAATCTTCCATTCTTCTCCAGATGAAGGTGTTTAGCCAGTGGCTCACATCTTGTAAATACATCACAATAGAGTTGTTGGCTTCCTTTTGCGCCCGTTTCCAAGAGAGGAAGACATGAAAAAAAATGGTGAAAAGTTCTCTCTTGTGGCATTAAACTATATCCGCTTAAGTGAGTCATGACGAGGTATATCGTATAGCGATTGTGTGGAA